ACAATTTCACCTTATGAGGGAGACTAAAGTGCAAAAAGCATAGAATATTTACCTCATCTGTGAACAGTGGTTAACGCATGAACATCATTGCATTGCTGATTGGGAAACTGTAATTCAACAGCCAGATTAATTTGACATCATGCAGCTCATAAAATTCCACATTGCTTCAGTGGTGGCAGGGAACATGGGCATGCCAGCATAAACATGTTGCATCACTGGGAGCACACACTCAAAGGGCTCTGATGGGCTTGCTAAGGGTTATTGGCTGTATTTAATCTAGTTTCCGCAGGTGCCTTTGAATAGATATCACTCTTACAATTCTAGGGATGCACTGTGTGTTACGGATGAAGTTCCTTTTTCTGTTGTAACTGACATAAATGAGTAGATCTGAGATATGGGAATGGAGCTGAGAGGAAAGGTAGGTCTTGAGAAAACATACCATCCTGCATTTGCCTGCTTATGCAATAGAAAGCATTACATCCTTCTACATTGTAAACAAATGCAGGGATTACCATTCTGATTTTATGGAAATATTTCATAATTAATATTCGCCCTCATGTCTTCTGTTTATATTTATCACTATTTCTTTCATTACCCAGCTGAGGTGCACTTTCCACTTCCAGACTAGTCTTTTGTCAGTCTTATCTTTTGCTGGAGTACTATGTTTTCCTGTCGCCTTTGGTCAGAAGCAGTGATGTGCATTCACTGCCTGTTATTTCTCACCTCGCTTCATGCATCCACTCACCAAACCTTCGCTCCTCCAAAGCCCTCCTACCCCCCTCTAATATCATACGTCAGGGAATATTGCAAAGTTGCTAAATTCAATCGCCAACCTTTTCTGAGCAGCTACCCGTTGTCAAGCATGGTCCTCAGTGTTTGGAATGAACTCAACGTTGTCTCTTTTATCTCCCCATGATCCTTTCTGTTCTACCACTATACGTATCATTACATTTCCACTATCCCCATTCAGGCCTGTGTTACCTCTTGCTTGACGCTTTGCGTGGTTTCTTGAGTGTTCTCTGTATTCTCATTTCCCCCACCTAACCATCCATC